AGAGGAAGAGAGAGACAGAAATATCGATGAGAGAGAATGAATTGGCTGCCTCCTGCACACCCTCTACGGGGGATCAGGGCGCAACCGGGGTGTGTGCCCTTGACCCGAATGAAACCCGGGCCTCTTCGGCCCGCAGCCCGAATAAACCGGCTGGGGCACGAACAGTCTTTTAGGGGTGTGATGTGGGGTTGAGCATGGCGATCAGGCCGGGCCTAGGAGAGAGGCTGCAGTGGGGCAGTGGGTTGGAGGATGAGTGACAAGCTGGTGGCGCACCTTGCCTGGGAACCTGTGCTTGACCTCCTCTGTCCCACACAGGCGACGGCAACGAGGGCAGCAGAGCTGGAAGTTGTCATTGTGATAGAAGTTTTTCTTCTGACTCTCCAACAGTTAAAGACATGGAACGTTTCCAAAAATTACTGAAAGCCTATAATCGCTGTCCTCGCTATGTCAGGTAATCCCACCCACCCCTGAGAAGAAAGTCAGCGCCTGCGCAATCCCTCCTTGCCAGGTGCCTCCAGGACCCTCTCTGGTCAAACTTGAACTCCTTCTGGGAGCACCTAACCCTTCTCTGGGTTGTTTGCCTTAATTCTCCACACTTTCATTTTCCTGTTCACCTTCCTGGGAAATTCCCACTTCAGCAGAAACAGGTTGCTCTGGGAGGTGACCTCATGTCTTTGGAATGAGGAAAGAGGTGGGGAAGGGGGTGGGGGGTGGGGGGCTCCTGAAGCTAAAACCAGGTTGTTCCTCCGAAGGTTCCAACTAAAGTACCAACAACAGTCCTGGAGTGTATGCGGGGGCAGCAAGGACCGGTGGGTGAATGAATTGATCAGCTGCTTTGATCAGAGCGGTGAGTGCTTTCCCCCTCTTCTCCAGGCTCTGTCTCCAGGGCTCCTCCACCTTGTAATTTCCTTCGCCTCAGACCTTCCCCTGTGAGTCCTCACATTCCTATTCTGATGCTGGCCACAGTACTTTCACTAAGTCCCTGTTCACCAAACATCATTCACTACCACTTTCATGATTTTTTGCTAGTTCACCCTGTGCTATTATTTACTTAATATTTTCCTTGAAATCAGGACACTATTTTTGTTTTCCATTCTCTTATGGAAATTTAAAGACATACAGTATACAAAAATTGAAAGAATTGTAAACACCCATATACCCACCACCTAGATCAGTGATGGCGAACCTATGACACGCATGTCAGAGGTGACACTCGAACTCATTTTTTTGGTTGATTTTTCTTTGTTAAATGGCATTTAAATATATAAAATAAATATCAAAAATATAAATCTTTGTTTTTCTATGGTTGCAAATATCAAAAAATTTCTATATGTGACACGGCACCAGTTAAGTCAGGGTTTTTCAAAATGCTGACACGCCGAGCTCAAAAGGTTCGTCATCAGTGACCTAGATCCTACAATACTTAGTTTTTATGTTTATATTTTACATATTTTTTTAAAAAATATATTTTATTGATTTTTTACAGAGAGGAAGGGAGAGAGATAGTTAGAAACATCGATGAGAGAGAAACATCGATCAGCTGCCTCCTGCACATCTCCTACTGGGGATGTGCCCACAACCCAGGTACATGCCCTTGGCCGGAATTGAACCTGGGACCTTTCAGTCTGCAGGCCGACGCTCTATCCACTGAGCCAAACTGGTTTCGGCTATTTTACATATTTTATATATGTACATAATAAAGCAAATATATTTTATATTTTACAATATTGAGTTTACAGCATTTTAACTGTATTTGCTTTATTGCACATCCGTCTATCCATCCTCTATCATCAATCCACCTTATTTTTTTGATGCATTTCCAGGTAAGTTGCAGGCATGACTATACTTCACCCCCAAACATTTCAGCATGCATATAGAATTCAGTATTTTATTGTTCCTTTTTTCTTTTGAGGTAGAATTTACACACAATGAAATGAATAAATCTTTTTTTTGAAATGAATAAATCTTAAGTGTACATAAGGCACTTTAAAAAAATGGTTTTATTGATTTTAGTGAGAGGGAGATAGAAACATCCTCGATTGGCTGCCTCCTGAACACCCACTAGTGGGGACTGAGCCTGCAAGCTGGGCATGTGCCCTGACCAGGAATAGAACCAGCAACCTCCTGGTGCATAGGATGAAGCTCAACCAACTGAGCCACACTGGCCGGGCCACAAGCTACTTTTGAAAAATTAAGTAGCAACTTGCCCTAGGCAGTAATATCTGTGAAGTCATAAATATAATGCACTGGTTGTATTTTCTCCTAAAAGAAATACACAAGCATTAAAATACAAAGTGTTTTTCACATCCCACCTAAAGTCGTCTTGTGTAGCATACGTGGTAAGCTTATTGCCCTTTGAACTCTATAGGCCTACATTATTTCATGTAATACTCCCAGCTACTATGGCCCTTGCTACTAAAATTACCCCCACTTTACAGCTGAAACAAATGAGTCCCTGAGAGGTTAAGAGACAAGGGCAAGGTCACACAGCTACTTCATAACAGATTCCAACCCAAGTCTCTCTCTCTCGCTCTTTTGTTAAAAATACCTTATTGATTTTTAGAGAGAGGACGGGAGAGAGAGATAAAAACATTAATTGGCTGCCTCAAGGGATTAAGCCCATAACTTGGGCATGTGCTCTGACTGGGAATCGAACCAGCAACCTCCTGGTGCATGTGTCGACACCCAACCACTGAGCAACACTGGCTGGGCCCAACCCAGGTCAGAACACACCTCTGTTCCAGTGGTTTCATGTTGCACTTGGTTCACTTCCTTCTCCCCCACCATTCACCTCTCCCCTGGTGTTCAGCTGTTCCCCTGATATTCCCCTTGACCCACTACCCTTCCCTCTATCTGCTTCTTGACCCCGTCTCCTCATAATCATGATTCCTCACTTGTTGCCTTTCCAGAATGTGGTCATGCTTACTCTGGGAGATTGGTCCAGCAGGAGCATTCACCTCCCCCCAGCACCCAGATTCCAGAGTCCACTGAAGGGGCACCTGCAGTCACGGACACCCCTGCTCAGACGTACCTGCCACTCACTCTGCAGTCTACCCAGCAGCCTACGCTTCCAGTAGGAACACTGTCCTTGGACAAAAAGCTCATCCACTCCCATGAAACCACTACTTCCTCTGTGGGCCACAGTGTACAGGCTGGGCCTGAAGCTGGGGCGAACCAGAAGCAGTTGGAAGAAAATGTGGGTCCTACAGCTGGGTCACGTGTCATGGTGCCAGCAGTGCTGTCTCTCTTGGGCATTGTCTTCTTCCTCATTGGAGCCCTTTTCTGTGTGGTGTGTAAGAGGAGAAGTAAGCAGTCACCGCAGTACTCTCCAGGTAAAGTGGATCTCTGAAGCCCTCCATTGGGGACCAGAGCCTCCCTGGCAGGAATCCTGATCCCAGTGGCTTCCAGATAGCTGGAAACCCACCCCAGGCAGGCAAATATGAAGGTTATCTGCACCATGGACTGTAAGTCATGAGAGAAGAGTCAGCCAGAATACAGAATGGGGAAGGAGGGAGGGAAGCCACCATGGGCCCTGGGACCAGTGCTTGGCCTTCAAAGCCAAGAAACACCAAGAAGATGGCAGCTAGAGCAGACTAGTGGGGGATGAAGGGGTAGAAAGTAGAAGCCATCCATTTAATTCACAAATCTTTATTGAGTACCTACTGTGTACCAGATTGTCTGATTAAATGTTTTGGAGTCTGATTCTCTAACTCAACCTATCACTTCCCCACCCCAACTACTCTTGATCTCAGAGCTCATCCCTCAATTTTCTAGATTTGCAGCTTCAATGTATACCTGTGGCATCATATTCCAACAGTTGGGCTAAGAATGGAAGCTTGTGAGAGTAGAAAATGTGATTTATCCACTACCATAAACATTTAATAAACTGGAACAATCTCTCTGGCACATAGTAGGCACTCTGTACATATCTGTTACTGTTTAACACCAGCCACTGCCCTCTGTTAGAACTTTCTTTTTGTCTTTACATTGTGTAAAATTCTGAATGTATATTATTTTTACTAAAAAGTATTTTTCTAATTATTGACTCTTCTTTCTGTGTACATTGGCCTCATGCCCTTGCCCCTTTACCATGATTCCTGGCTTCAGCTTCTCTGCTGATGGTACCCCGCTCCCCCAAAGTCTCTCTCTATACCACACCAACTTTAGCCCTCACCTGCTTCCTCCCCTGACCCCACACTTAAGGCCTGGGTTTTCCCACCCTCCCTCAGCAGCCACCAGCTGCCATCCAGGCTGGATTTACTTCCTCAATCCCTTGTGTCACTCATATATGCCCCAGTCTCAGTCTGAGCTCACTGTCTTTATTGTTGTTGTTTTTCATTATCAAAACCCTTAGTTCCTGTTTTCTCTCTTCCAATGAAGAATGTGTCTTCATTGGGTCAAGTCTGCGGAAGGGAACAAGGACATGAAGTATCTGAGCAAGTGGGTTGGGTGACTGACTCTTTATCTCCTGTCTGAGCTTGTGAGGACTTTGGTGATGTTAGAGCAGGAGCACCTGCTAGAGGAGCCAGCACAGAGTCGCAGGCAGACGTGGGCTTAAAGTTCTCCATTCCCACCTTTTGCCTCTTTGTCCTCATATATGACCAGCAGGGCATGCATGGCAGCCTGCGCTCCTCAATCTACAGGTCTCCAGGTTCTGTCCCGGGGGGCAGGTGGTGATCTGCCTCCAAGATGTCTCTCGGCCTACTTGGCTTAGTTTTCCAGCATCTGCTCACAGGTTCGGGCCACATCGCTGAGCTTGAGGCGAGCATAGTCCACTCGCTTTAGTGCCATCTGACAGTCCTTCCTTGAAGAGTAGCTGGAGCCCTCGTGGGGCTGCCCTGTGGCCACCTAGAGGACATTTCAACTGGTCAATGAAGCCTCCCCTCCCCCCATCCATCTCCCCAACAAGACATCGGGTCTCTTGTCTCATTTCTTTCCAGAGTTTGAATTCATACCACATGGTAGCTGGATGACGTAGGGCAAACCACTTAACTTCTGATGACCTCATCTGGAAAATGGGGGTGACAATAACTAATTCGTAGAGTTGTACAGTTAAATAAGATCACGCTGCGTGTCTGGTACATTGTAAAAGTTTGGTAAATAGTGGTTGCTATTGTAATGACTTCAGAACCCTCGCAGTCCCGTCTCTTTTATCAGGAAGTAGCTATCTGGGGTTTCAGGCTCCTCAGGTCAGTTTCTAGGGACAAAGGCCCTTGGGTTTACAAGCCCTCTCCCAGAACTTCCTTATCTAGTGGATCATGTGATGAAACTCGTGAATAGGCAAGGCCGCCTTTCCTTCTAGAGGAAGAAACCAGCCCTGGAACGGAGGAGTCCTGCCAGGGTCATTCACCCGGCTTGGCGCCGGCTCCGGCGGCCTGGTCCTGCCTGGCTCCCGAGGTCAAGGCTCCGCCGGGTCCCTCTGAAGGCTAAGGCTAAGGCTATGGCAGAGAGCTGGGTGGGCACTTGCACCTCCCACCACCCACCCACCTGGGTTAGGTAGCGGATCTGAGCCGACAGCTCCGCTTCTACGTGTTGCACCGACGCCGTGAAAGCCGCCGCTTGTCGGTCTAGCAGCCGCTCATTGGTTTTTTCCTTGGAAAGTTCCAGAATTACGGTACCTGCAGGGGCAGAGGGCAGGGCTACTCAGACACCGGCAGTCCCGCCCCGCCCAAGGGCCAGCCCCTCAACCCCCTACCCCCTACCCCCCACCCTCCCGCGCAGCACTAGCACGTAGGTCCTAGGATCCTTCCCCATCCCCGCTCCTAATCTCGGGTTGGCGCATGTGCACGGGGCTCGGGCTCGCTCTCGGCCTTCCGGTCGTCGTTTCCCGAACCTGCATTCTGAAGGATGGCGCCGATTTCCCGTTCGATGTCTTCCAAGGCGCGTAGTCGCTCGTTAGCCAGGCTGTAGGTAGCCATTGTCTGTCGCTCGGGGAACCCACCGGATTTTCCCCTTTTGCGGAGCGCGGCGTTTGAGCCCGGAAGGGCACGTCGGTTTCCGCCGGCGCCGAGAGCGATCTCTAGCCGACACTACAATTCCCAGGATGCTCAGCGAAGCCCCGCCTTTCTCGGCTCACCTGGTGAACTACAACGCGCAGGAGTTCTGCGCATGCCCAGACCTGCGCCACCGCCGCGGGACTACCAGTGCCGGAGACTGTAGCTGGACGTTCTGTAACCAGGGCGGTCTGACCAGCCAAACCTTCGCGCCATGATCTTGTGGTCTATAGTTAATTTCTTCTGTAAGAATTAATTGAGCGTCTGCTGGCGCTAGGGGATGATGGTGGGGGTTCTGGGATATTCTTCCAGATTACACAGCCGTGGAACCTCTCTCTGTGTGCCCACCCGGCTCCGCCATCTGTTGGGGCCTGGGGAAAGCTTGACTTGGTGAGGGTTACATTATTCGCCCTAGCGCTTCCTCCTGGACGGGAGCCCAGCTGAAAGACCGACTATCAGTCTGTTCTCAGAAGCTGGCTTATTTCAGCCTTTTCACCTTTCCCTTTCTGGTTTCCATCATGTGGTGGGCTCAGGTTCACAAAGATGAATGAGATGGACTCTCCCGCGAAATGGCATAGGCGTTTTGTTGGAGCTATGCCCCGGGTGCACCACCAGGAGCACAGAGAAAGGCCTCCGGGCGGAAGTGCTGCTTGAACGGAATCTAAAGAGTTAACCAGGTATCTACCTGTTTAAAGAGGAAAAAGGAACTGGCACAGGCAAGCGCCTGGTGCCTCGTGCGTGAAGGGGTCCAGCGCATTTGAAGGGACAGCAAGGGGTTCAGTTTGGCTTGAATGGAAGGTGTGGCTGGGGAGACTGGAGGAGACAGATCCGGAAAAGGTTTGCAAGCTAAGTAATTTGGACTGTGTTCTGAAGACATTTGGGACCTTTGAAGGATTTTAAAGAGGTGTGTTATGACAGATTTACCCATTTGGAAAGATCAATGTTGACAGATTATGGAAGATTGAGAGTGAAACCAGTTTGCACAGGGTTAGCAAACTAACCCTGTGAATGGAGACTTTCAGTTAAACTTGAGGGAATCTAGCCCCAGCTGGTTTGGCTCAGTGGATAGAGTGTTGGCTCCCAGTAAGAAAGGTCCTGGGTTAGATTCCAATGAAGGGCATATACCTTCGTTGCCGGCTAGATCCCTGGCCCTGGTTGGCAACCAATGGACGTGTCTCTTTCACATGGATGTTTCTCTCTGTTTCTCCCCCTCCCTTCCACTCTCTCTAAAAAGCAATGGAGCCCTAACCGGTTTGGTTTAGTGGATAGAGCGTCAGTCTGGGGACTGAAGGGTCCCAGGTTCGATTCTGGTCAAGGGCATGTACCTTGGTTGTGGGCACATCCCCAGTAGGGGGTGTGCAGGAGGCAGCTGATCGATATTTCTAACTCTTTATCCCTCTCCCTTCCTCTCTGTAAAAAATCAATAAAATATATTTTAAAAAACAATGGAAAAATATCAAAATAACAATAGGGGACTCTCTTCCCCCCTCCTCTCTCCCTTCCACTCTGTCTAGAAATCAATCCTCCAGTGAGGATTAATAATAATAATAATAATAATAATAACAATAGGGGATTTCATAAAGAGGTCAAAAAGAAAGAGGAGTTAATAGCAAAGTTTTAGATAGAAACTGAAAAACAGAAGGATAAATGGCAACTGATGTTTAAAAATTAAAAAAAAAATTTTTTTAAATTGATTTCAGAGAGAGAAAGGGAGAGGGAGAGATAGAAACATCAATGATGAGAGAGAATCACTGATCGGCTGCCTCCTGCACGCCCTCTAGTGGGGATGGAGCCCAAAAGCCAAGCATGTGCCCTGATGAGGAATCAAACCCAGGAATAAAAATTGGTTCACCGGTCCATCCTCAACCACTGAGCCACACCGGTTGGGCAGTGGCAAATGATTTAGCAGTGAAGTGGTAACTAAACCATCAGTGAAGAAAGTTTAGAAGCAACTTGATATATCCTTGAATTACTGGCATCATGTACAACTGGGGTGTAGGTGATACCAACATTAGGAGGATTCTTGGAAGTATTAGACCCCTCCCATCTCCTCCTTTACTCCGTATATCTGGGCAACTACTCACCTCCAACCCATAGTATTACTGGAGACTTCTTTGTTGGAGATGGAAAACAGAGGGTCTTCAGCATGAAGGATATTTGGGAACAGTTGTATTGAAAATAGAGAAGTGAAAGTTTATTTACTGAGTGGTGGTTTCTTGAACTCTGCCATCCAGATCAGAGACTGGAAGGCTCTTATCTGGGGAATCTGACTAGTGAGAGAACACACTTCAGAGTATTAACACCAGGGGTCCCCCAACAAAGCACTTAGCCAGATCGCCCCATGGTGAAACCCATAGTTGGCAGGTCCCAACTTTGTCCATAGACAAAGTAAAACTTAAGGAAAAAGAAAACTATTGATACTTTTACATAAGAGATACTATAATAAAGGATTGCATCTAAGGAAACACAATTGAAAAGTAAAACCCCGAGGGAAGGAATGAAAAACCTAGCAAAAGGGTTTAAAGAGAAATTGAGGAACTCTCCCAGCAAGTAAAGCTAAAGAAAGGAGAT